ATACTGTAGTTAGTATCAAGTTAGAATTTTTCAAGAATCATCATTGCTATTTGACTGAACTAATGAGTGTCCGATTCAAATTATTAATGGGTCAGCAGTGACATTTGATTGAACTAGTCAGTATCAAGTTAGAATTGTTCATGGGTCTTCATTGGAATGGAAAAAGAAAGCGCATCTCTAACATCTCCTTGTCAGAATCTCTAGAAATGGATTTCTGTATCAAAGAAATGTCACTAATTGATATTTTTATTTTTCACTTGCGATAGTTTTTAATTTACTCATTTTGAACGATACTGCATAATAACCTTTTTCTACATGCAAAAATGCCTGTTTCATTTTATAACCTTTGCTCAGGATCATAAGTCTTCAACATTATGATGGAGTTTATTTCTTTGTGAAGATAGGACAGATAATACTGATGTACAGAAGCAAACTTGAAAGGTGACATTTTTATTCAAGTCAGTATACCATGACCAAAGGTCAACCTCAGTGATCAGTCATGTTGTTAGTCATCAATGCCCTACAAGTGCCTACTTAGAAGACTGTTAAACAATGGGTAGGTGCATAATGTGCCTATCATGTTACTCTTGTGGAAAAGAAGTATTAAATCTGTAAATAGAAAACTCTCTCTGCAATTTTATGCTACAATATGCGGAATTGTTACAGGCATTTCTTGTTGAAGCATTGTAAAATTTTTTATCCGTGTATATGGAACTTATGCCAAATGAGTCACATGGTCTCACAAGAGTTATTTGCATGCAAGAGGTTTCCATTAAGCCTCAGAATGGTATGAACAGCAGTCCAGGTGGTGCATGTATTTACACTGCAGCAACTGCTATACTTGACAACAGTTGTACCAGTCTAAGAGGATTGATGTTAGCATTAGTCTATGTGTTGCATGCCAGCATATTACAGCAAGTACTACACTTGTCAAGAGTCATACCTCTCCAAGAAGCTTAATGTTTACATTATTCCAGGTGCTGCTTACCTCCACAGCAGCTGGAGCTATATTTTAAATGTAGGTATCCCAAAGTCAATGTCACATGTACTTGACATTGTGATATTTATTCCATGCTTTGTTGCTGTTGAATCTTCCTATAAGTTTTGTCATAACTGTTTAACGGTTTAACTAGAACACAGCTTTCAGTCTATTCTATTTTTTTCCACAGTGTCATAAACTTCCAGCTTTCAAGAGAATCATCTTTGAATGATATTATGATGTCAGCATTTATTCATATTTACCAAGATGGATCCAAATGAACAGAAAATTTCTGGAAAATTTTATCACTAATAATTGGGGATTTATATGTAGATACATTCCATAAAAAAAACTCTATTCGGGGATTCCTTTGCAGATCAATAAATTACTATTACACTGTAAGAAAACTTTCAGATTTTCAGACTCAAGGAGTCATAACATGTCTACCAAAGGAAGAAAAAGATAGAAGATTCTTCCAAAATTGGAGACCTATATCACTTTTAAATATTGACTTTAAGATTGATTCGGGAGCCATTGCAGCCAGGATCAGAAAGGTTCTTCACTCAGTAATCAGTGATACCCAAAAAGGATTTATGAAGGGTAGATTTATTGGAGAAAATACTAGGCTACTATAGGATGTCATGAATCAACTTGAAAATGAAAATAGATATGGTTTATTATTACTAATAGACTTTGAAAGGCTTTTTGGAAAAGCTTTTGACTCAATTGAATGGATTCTTGTGGAAGAATCTTTACAATCTTTTAACTTTGGTGATTCTATTTGTAAGTGGTTTAGGCTGTTCTGTAATGACTCTAAAAGTTGTGATATAAATAATGGGCATATGTCATCTTTCTTTAGACAAAAAGAGGATGTCGACAATGAGATCCCTTTGCACCTTGTTTATTATTGGGGTTGAGATTTTAGCTATAACTTTAAAGCAAAATGTGGATGTACGGGGACTGATCTTTGATGTCAATGAATATAAATTGACACTTTTATTCTTCTTGATGGATCTCAACTTTCTCTTAAAGCAGCTATGAATATCTTGCAAGGTTTCTTTTTATTATCTGGACTTGAATGTAACATAAAAAAAATAAAAGCCATTTGAATTGGAAACAAGAAATTTTCTAATGAAAGAATATGTCCAGATATGGGCCTAATTCGGTGCTCCTCAAACTTTATACTCCTTGACATATATTTTTTGGCAGATTTATAACAAATGGTGGAAATAAATTATATGAAGAAACTAACAAAGGCAAAATGAATATTGGCAAGCTGGAGTCAAAGACATCTGTCAGTTGTTGGTAAGGTAATTGTTCTAAAAACCCTTGTTTTGCCCATATTTATACATCTTTTCTCAACACTTCCAAATCCATCAGCCAAAGTTGAAGCATAACTAAATCATACATTATTTAAATTTGTTTGGAGTGGAAAAGTAGAGAGAATTAAATGCGATATATTAGTAGCCCCAGAGAATGAGGCAGGACACAATATGATACATATATTCTCATTTATTAGGTATATTAAGATAAGATGGGTAAACAGATTGCTGGAAAATGAAAATGGAGCATGGCAGAACTTAGTCAATACAATTATACTCAGAAATGAAAAGGATATTTGGAACTTAGGGAGAAGGAAATTAGAAGAATTTAGTAAGCTCATTAAAAACAGTTTTTGGAGAGATGACATTTTGGCAGTATCTAATTGGAAAGAGGAACTGCAAAGTGCAAATGAGTTCTTATCCATGAGTATTTTTAATTTTATCATCCCTAGAATGTTCTATCAATACAAATCCTGGACAGTAGCCAGTTTTAAAATTTTGAATGATCTAGTAGACAATCATGGCAATTTATTACCTTCTGAAATGATAAAACAAAAAAAAATAGAAGAGGTGACTTCTTGAAATACTTCTCCTTAATATCCCAAATTCCAAGAGCATGGAAAAAAGCCATAAAAAGCCATTTAGTACATAAATATTTTTGGAAGGCAGGAGGATAAAATAATGGATCTGAAAAAATATAATTCACTCAAGTTTGTTTGCAAAGATCTTTTATAAAAGGGCTAAAAGGCAACATACTGCTAAGCAAGAATCTTGAATGCAATTATTAAATACAAATATAAGTAGTGAGGAGTGGTCTGAGATTTATGACAGGGTGAAATTTTGTACCAAGGATATCAAATTGATCTCTTCACTTTAGATTAATCCATAGAATAATCGCTATTAATGATTTTTTGAAAAGAATTAACATATTGGACAACAACAAATGTACATTTTGCAAGAGAAAGAATGCAAGTATTGAGCATCTCTTCTATGATTGCAATATTAGTTCTGGTAGTTTTATTGAACATTTTGTACCATCTTGCCCAAATATTGTACATTTGTCCAAAAAAGAAACACTTTTAGGAAGTGAACAGCTGGGTAGTTTGTGTAATTTCTTGTTTATTTTGGCAAAATATTACATTTATACTTGCAGATTCAATATGCAAAATCCTTATATCTATGCTTTTAAGCAGAGAGTTGTAATGTATAAGAACGTTGAAAAATATGCTGCTAAGGTAAACAAAAAAGAGGACCAATTTCTTAAGAAATGGACCTCAACAGATGAATAGGTAACTTGTATCTGATTGGATGGTAAACAGGAACAAAATACTATTATCAAAGCTTATGTCACTACATGGGGATCTAAAGAGATTGCTTGCCATATGAGTGTGTGTGTTGTCTTTTTTTTTCTTTCTTTTAATATAAATTATGTGTATATTTACTATTCCTAGTTTATCTGGAAACAAGAAATTTTGATTGTAAGGTGACCTTGGGATGGTTCCCCGACCCAATGGTCAACCTAATATGGGGATAATAAAGTAAAAAAAAAAAAAAAAAAAAAAAAAAACTGTTGATTATAAACAAAATTTCTAATCAGTAAGTCTGAATTAAAATCCTTACTAATTACACTGATGGGGGAATTGGCTTCTGACCACAACAGACATCATTCAATAACTGTAGTTTTATGAGAATCTGCCATCACTAACATTCAGTGGTGGATCTTTTTGTTGTTATTGTTTGTACATTGTTTTACAAGAAAAACTCGTTATATTTTATATAGTTTTTGATCAAGTATTACTTTTACTGTTTGAGGATAAATTAGTAGTAATTACTTGGATGGTAATTTATTGCAATTTTCTTTATAATTATGTTTGAGATACTTGTTTCGACCCATTTACTTTCTTTAATTGTAGATGATAAATTGTAAATAAAATCTCTCACCTGTTACTTTGTATTGTTTTTCTTCTCAGTATTTGTGCTGCAAGCATAATGAGTTATCAAGAATATCAGTAGGTGTGTGTGTGTGTGTGTGTGTGTGTGTGTGTGTGTGTTTCTTTAATGTAGCTTTAACAATTTTTCAGTCACATCTGCAGTGAGGCAGTTTATAGTGCTGTATAGTACTAGTGCATCATGCTGCAGACATGTAGCATGATGTCCCATGAAGTCACATTATCCTGACACCAGACTGACCTATCCTAACACTGACCTCTTAATGCTGAGCACCAAGCAATACAGCTGTTAGTACCATTTTTAGAAGTCTTTGGTATAATTTGGCCAGGGTTCAAACCTGCAACCTCCTGTATCTGAGGTGGACACTCTAAACACCAGGCCATCAGAGCAGTAGATATTACCATATGTACTCACTTATAAGTCAAGTCAAGCTGCAAATAAAAGACTTCCTAATCTTCCATAGCATAATGCAAATCAGGGTCTATGTTGTTTGTTCTACAGATTATGCCTATCAAACAGCACAGACTCAAATCTGCTGGTGCATTGTGTGACACTATATTTGAGTCTGATGACTCCAAATATAGGCAAATTTATACTGTATGCATGCTCACATTGTTTCTAACAAAACTTGTGATAAAACAATGATAGTTTACTCAATAGGTTCCCTGGTTATAATAGAAAATCTGCAACCAGAGAACCTGAGATAGTCAGGTTTCTCTCTGCTAACACTTTTATCATGCAGCATTGGTGAACTGAACATGGTCTAAGTGGTTAGAGCGTCCGTCTCAGATGCGGAAGGTTGTAGGTTCAAACCCAGACTGAGTTATACCAAAGACTTATATAAGAAATGGCACTAGCAGTTGCCTCGCATGGCGTTCAGCACTAAGAGTTTAATGTTGGGCCTGGTGTCAGGATAATGTGACTCGGTGAGACATAACGCCACATGACTGCAGCATGACACCTCAGTGGTAGGTGTTATGTTTATGCAATTTATTTGTTTGTTTAATTTTTATTTTTTATTTTATTCTATTATATGTTATTGTAATGATATTTTTGTCGACTGGTTTTGATTATTTTTTGTATAGAAATTTAGTTCAGTTCTGTTTGATCTGATAAACAACCGGTAGTTGAAACATTGTATCTAGTTTCTATCAGAAATCAGAAATCAGATAGAGTTCATGTTTAAAAAACAAAAAAAAAAACATTTTTATTATTTTTTTATTCATTCTAAGAGTAAGATTCATTTTGTGAAATCAAGGCCATACTAGAGTACATGATGTTAGGCATGTAAATATTTCTACCTTGTTCAAAAGAGGTGATAACGTGACTCTCATGTGGGAATCCGTTTTGCGTTTTAGATAGTCATATAATTCATTTTATAAGAAGAAATAGCACAATATGCTTTAAACCTTTGATGCTCAAAGGTGTTTTGTTGTGACCAGTTTAAGTTAATTTCTCTTGGGAGTTACTGATTGTTTTTCTGGAAAAATATGAGTGCTCATCAGAATTATTTGACAAAAGCATTTATCGAAATTTATTCAGAAATTTTAAACTGGAATATTATTTTCTGGGATTCATCAAGGAACCGTTGACACAACAACACTCTGAAGGTTACGGCACACGTGATCATCTTTATTGGAATTTTATCGGGAGTCAAACACAAATTCATTTAAGACTTTTCATTCATAGGACTTTTTTTTAATTCTTGGAATTAATTTTTGGATTTTCTAAACCCAAGTCCTTTTTCTCATTTTACCTTGTTTTTCTAGGGAAATAGTTATTTTGTTAACGTTTACAAAGCTTGATGTGACGGGGCCCCGGGTAACAGAGTAGTCTAAAGCGCTCTCCGTTACGGATCACTGTCATCTCACCTGTCTGCGTGGGTTGAGTCTAGGATTCGGCGAATGTGGATATGTGAGAAAGTTTGCCATAGCTTGTCTTCACTCTTTTCTTGTTATTTTTGTACGAGCCAAGGCATGTTACATAGACATCGCTAAAAACAACCACACTGCAGACATCGTAGCGATATCTAAAGCTACGGTAAAAATCCAAATCACACACACACACACACACACACACACACACACACACACACACACACACACACACACACTATACCATGGGTGCTCTGATAAGAAAAGAAGTACTGACAGTAACGATAAAGACAGCAACAACAACAATGGCTGCCGCATTGTACTTGCTCGTAAGAAGGGAGCATAGTTTGTTGAATATTTCTACATGTCATGTCCTTATATCAAAAATATTTGGGAAAGCATTGTCAGTCGCTTCTACAGAAACTAACTTGGAAAGTAGTCAGCCCGAAAACAAGCCCAAAGTGGAAGATGAAATCGCAAATATACGTAATGTATCAAACCTACCACAAAGGTTACGGGCAAAACTTTCACACGTGAATGAAATGCCAGACTTGAATGACGACAAAATACAAAATAACACAAGGATTCTCAGAAAAATATATGCCAAATACGGGAAATCGTCTGGCATAGATCCGCGTATCATGTGGCCTTTGAGGTCCGAGTTAAAAGTGATAAAGGAGGACGAACGGGACTGGGATCCAACATTTCAGGACCTAGTAGATAAAATGAAGCAGAAGAAACTAGCGGAGCAGAAAGAGAAGAAAGAAAGGCATGTTTTAATATTTCGCTTTGTCTTAACCCAAAATTTTGATGTGCCGCTTTTGCCTCGCCATCAACAAATGTCCCACATGGCATACATGCCAAGTTTTCTAGAAACAAATCGGGGAGATTTGTGTTAAAAATCAGGGAGATTGGGTCCAAATCAGGGAGATTAGCGTAACGACTATTTTTTAAGCTTAAGCACAAAAGTGCAGATATTACCACAACTAAGTAAAATAATTATAGTGAATAATAGATACTTAACTTTATTTATTTTATTACATGGCTGCTGTTAACGAACTCGGGGGAGAACATAAATTTTCTTTCCAACCATTACCATTGTAACTACTAAACCCTGCTACATTCTGTTTGTTAAGACTTTTTGAAGACAGTTGAAAAAGTTTTCACCAGTTCCAATATTGCAAATGGGCATATCCATGAATTTGGTTGTCACTCTGAATATCAGTGTCAAACACACAAGTATTGCTATACACTTTTCATCACCACTGTCAATAGGCTCATCCATCATCACTGAGAAAGGGTTTTCTTTGCATAGTAAAGTTACTTGATGGTCATACACTGGACCCAGTGTATTGTTAACAATGTTACCTTAGTTCTTTTGCAGTGAAATTTCTGAGCAATTTGCGAGTCAGGAAATATAATGATCAGCAACTAAGAATGGTAAATTATACTCTGCCACAAATTTAGCAAACAGAACCTCTGCTTTAGTGACACTGTCTACTGATGTTGGTGCAAACATCTGTGTCACTTTATACACATTCTGTAACGATTTCTCATTTGCAATGTGCTGCTTACTTTTCAAGTGTAAGATCATTTTTCCCCCATTAGAATGTTCAAATGTGTGTTGCAAGCTGTGCAGTATGCAAAGCTTTCTTCCTTTTTACTACACTTAACACATTTAAATTCACCTATCCAAGCACTGTTTAAGTTGCAGACATTTTTTTTTTTGAAAACATAATTTCCATCAAATCTGTTAGCAGACATTTCAACATGGCACCAGAATATTTGAAATAATCTGGAAGCAATTGTAGGAATATGCATACATTTTTATGTGCTTGGTGATTTAACTCCAGCAAAGCACACTACATTCTATACAACAGCAAAGGCCAATGATAGTCCAATTATGATTTGCCTCCTTACACTGCCATATTACTCCATATGAACAAAAGTAATTTAGAATATAATTCTCTATAGGAACAAATTACATCCAAGGCTTATTTCTCAAATTGTTGTTTTAGCTGGAAATACTTATGCTTGGCAGGTTTGTTATTTATTTATGGGAGATCTTGTTAGCAAATCGGTAGATCAAAAGATGGGGTCTAAAATTAAAAGACTCCCGGACAAATCAGGAGACTTAAGCATGTATGCATATGGACAATTGGCAGTAACAGTGTTCATCCGTCTTGAGACTAACAAGTTGTTTTTCACCTTTTTATTCTGAAATTTTTGCTGGCAGATACCAATGGTGCTTAACACTATTTGTGCTAGAGTGACATTGTTTTGATCTCGAAGACTATGGGACCACATGCTAGTAATTAACAAGCTTATTTTGACTGATCTTTGTATGCAGATAGTAAGTAAAATCCCTCATTGTTTGAGCCATGGCTTTAAATTCTGCAGAAAACTCACTTTTTAAGTATTAATCCCTGTCAAAACAACACCAGTGTATCTATCAGTTATTGACCAGAAATTTAAATTGTTCTCCATGCAAAGAAGGCGGCATCACCCCAAGGTAAGAATAATATTTATAGGATAGGGTACTAACATGAGCCTTGTGTGTATCAGTGGATCAGCCAGGTGAGATTCACACCTAGGTTTTTTCATTTTTTTTAAAACAAATTTGAATGGTTTTTTTTATACATGTATATACTGCAAGAAATAAAACAGTTCTTTTATTTAAAACCAAATTATATATATATATATATATATATATATATATATATATATATATATATATATATATATATAATTTATAAAATTAACAACACCAACAGGTAGAATGGTGGTTTCACTTTATTGCTTAATCAGACTCAATTCAAAATGAATTCAATACCATTGTTTAGGTCATAAAATATACTGTGTTTCTAATGTAAAGATACATCTCTATTGTAAACAATTTATTAAATATATTATGGATAAATAGAGATAAAGTTTTATTCCCATTAACTGAAAAACTATAATTTATGTTTAACAGTTGATCAGAACTTAAAACTATATAATAAATAAATAGTAAAACAATATGGTGTGCGAAAATATTTAGAACTAAATAATTATAATATGTTATAACATTAATTTGAGATACTCTATCCGTTTTATAAAATTATTGGATATATTTTTACAATATTAGTAATAGTAACATTAATTAAATTTTAATTAAATTAACATTAAATAATGTAAAAGTATTAACTAATTGTAAACAGGGGACAGAATTAAAAAAAAATAATTAAAAAAAATAATTTTTTTCATTATGGAATGTTGTACAAGGTTTTGGAATTAAGACCTTTTGGATATACTGTATTAAGATGGTGAATCCAATAGGTTTCCTTTAAAAGACGTTCCATCTTAGAATTAACTATATCAATAGGTTGAAAGGAGAAATCTTGTAAAGTATGGGAACTTTTGTTAAAGTGTTTTACAATGTGTGAATTGAAATTATTATCGATATAGTTTTTTTATATCTGATCTATGTTGGTTCATACGTTTAGATAATTTTTGACTCATTTGTCCAATATATTGTATGCTACACTTTTTGCATGTGAGCAAATAAATGACATTTGATGTTGCACAATTAGTATCACAACGCATATTAAAAGTTTCTTTTGTATACATACTATTAAAAGAAGTATTTTCATTAATAAAAGAACAGTGCAAACATCTAGGTTTATTGCATTTAGTTGATGATCCATTTTTATATATTTTTTCTAATTTAGAACTAATTAAGTAATCTTTAAGATTTTTTGGCCTTTTATAAGCAAGCGTGGGTTTGCTTTTGTGTAGTGTTTTAACACTAGTTTTACTAGATAGTTTTAATATATATAAACACTAGTTTTACTAGATAGTTTTAATATATATATATATATATATATATATATATATATATATATATATATATATATATATATATATATATATATACAAACAATACTATCATACAGGTTAGAGAAATTAAATTCGTAC